TATCAATCGAGTTTATGCGCTATAAATTGATGTTATGTGCTATACATTGATGTTAGGTGCAAATACATTGATGTCATAAATCGATACAACTAAAAGATGAACCGATACAACTAAAAGATAAATCGATACAACTAAAAGATAAACCGATACAACTAAAAGATAAATCGATACAACTAAAAGATAAACCGATACAAATAAAAGATAAACCGATACAAATAAAAGATGAGGAAACAGAAGTAAATACAAATAAAAGATGAGGAAACGGAAGTAAATACCAATAAAAGATGAGGAAGCGGAAGTAAATCGGAAAAACGGAAGTTGAGCGACGCGGCGACATACAACAATGGCGTCTCTTGGACAACGCATTTGGCTTCCTAAGAAAACTTTTTTCATGAATTGGTTGATTTAATAAGAAATGCTGAACAAAGTCGCTCTCATTGTGACTCGCCAGACTTTTATTGTCGTAGATTAGAAGAGTATGAACGCACATTGAGGCTATGTTTACATTGTATCGGATCACTTTGCGTCCGACGCAAAAACCATACCGGATAGGGCTTCTGTTTACATATGAAATGTTGTTATCGTCTCAATTTCTGCAACGGACCGGTGGTGCGGCGGTTCGCTCTTCGAAGTGGTGCGCGGTGTATCGGATCGGTTTTTGCAACGCTCTCATTGCAATGTAAAAACCAATCGGAGCAATTTCGGTTCAATACGTGACTCAAGATGGAATCTGGCAAACAACAACTTACTATTCTAATAATATATAGAAGAAAATACGACGGCATAGATGGGCGGGGCGGAAGCTGTTTACACTTGGGCCGTATCTTTTCGCGAACGAAACAAAAACTGATCCGATACAATGTAAACATAGCTTGAGACTCAATGATTGAGTGTTTTAACAACAAGAATCACCGAATCATACACAACGGAGCAGTTTTTAATCAACAATCTACATATACTATGTACTTATTTAAATAGTTTACGAAATGAATTCGACGTTATTGTTGAAAATTATGAACGGACCTCAGAGCGCTTTTCACTAGAAGAGTCTTACGATCGTGCGGTTTGTACGGCGGAAAGAAACGGGCTCGTTGGTAGGCCAAGAATACAAGTCACAGAAGAGCAGTTAACCACATTGCTTTTTAAGTTTAGATATAGGTAATGAGAACCATATTGGTGTCCTAGTAATAAATTTATGCCACAATAGTCCCTAAATGTTAGATCAAAGATGTAGTGTGAAATATGTTAGTGTGATGGCCTCGTGTTCAGTAGCACAATTAAACAATTTATGCTTGTGAAAATAATGTTATATTTGTCAATTTGATAAGCCTGAGAATAAAAAAATAAAAAATAAAAAAACACTTGTATATGTATAAAGAAATACAAGTGTAGGTGTAGACTTTTGGAACATAAAATTGGAGATGCGTGTGTGAAATTGTATCGGTAAAATATCCTGTGGTGTAAAAAAATTTGATCATACTCAAGGGGTATGATCTCGCTGTACTAAAAGCTTGTATGGAGGCATGTAAAATATATAAGGCGAGAGAAGGAGATAGTCATGTGTGTAAAATTCAGTATCCCTGAAAGGCTGGCTGCGGCACAGACGCATTATTTGGTACACACGAATTCTGAGTACGTGGTATTCGGAAACGAGAATTCAGTTCTTCGGGTAACGATGTGAACTGCTGCACTGAACCACCTTGTGATGCGTTTTCTTCACGTGTTTGCGAAGAATTCTGTAAATTGATCACCGCGCTTAAGATAGACTGAACAAAATCCTGAACATTTGGTATTCTGCTGTCTCTCTTCTGCCATGTTTTTCAATATGTATTCACCAGCTTGGCGCCACTACTTGGCACGCGCTGACGCGCAATTTTTCTGCGTCGCTCAACTTCCGTTTTTCCGATTTACTTCCGCTTCCTCATCTTTTATTGGTATTTACTTCCGTTTCCTCATCTTTTATTTGTATTTAATTCCGTTTCCTCATCTTTTATTTGTATCGGTTTATCTTTTAGTTGTATCGGTTTATCTTTTAGTTGTATCGGTTTATCTTTTAGTTGTATCGGTTTATCTTTTAGTTGTATCGGTTTATGACATCGATGTATTTGCACATAACATCAATGTATAGCATATAACATCAATTTATAGCGCATAAACTCGATTGATATATTTAAGATATTTTGTCCGCAAAAAAACTTCATAATAATGTAAAGATATTCCTATAGCAACCCATGCAGTTAACGCAATGTGGATTGTTCTTTGCACATATTTACACTAGCTTTATACCGGCAATTAATGCATGTAATAATATGTCAGCCCAGCCTAGTCCCAGTCGTTCTGAAGCAAGCGCGAGAAAAAAAGTGGATGTAGTACGAGACTGGGACCTAGGTGTGACGTCACCGCTCAAGGTGCTTCAGAACGCCTAGCAGATTTCAGTATTTTTAACATGGCGGAAAATTTGTATATACAAGTAACCTTTTAATTATAAATACGACAATGTTCGTTCATCATGTACATGTTCGATGTCTACATAACCAAATCAAACTGTATTAAAAATGTGCTCAACAAAAAACTGATTATATACAAATTTACGATACCGAGTTTGAGCAATCGTTGATGTTATTTATGTACTCGCAAGTTGTGATCAACACTAGACCATACTGGTATACACAACTACGCTTTCTACTTGACAGGTTTAAATTGCTGATGAGATTGGAAATATTTGCCTGACATGACGGTGTTGTCAAAACATTCTTAGGTGGAGACTCGGCATAATTTTCAAGCTTCTAGATAGCATTTACTATGGCTATATATTTTAGTAAACACGAGTCATATTTAGCCCGTTATTCCATTCTGACCGTATGGCCGCGAAACGTAGTCTACTTCATTGTTCCGACAGCATTAGAGCAAAACTAATGACTTCATTATAATGCAAAGGAAATTTCCATAACATTTTCCATTTACAAATGAGGTATGCTTGGTAACCAGGCCAGGGACCACTTTTTTGAAATCAGTCTGAAATCAGGCTGAATTCGCTGAAGCGTTCCGCACAGCACACCCAGGCATAAAACTTTTAAGACTTATTTAAATATATCAAAGCAGCGAATAAAGAGAGAGCCTGGGACTAGGCTGATGTCAGCCGTCTTTTGTACAAGGTATAGGACGGTCTGTAAAAATATCTGTGAGATATGTCCATTGTTAATTTGTTAGGACTGTTAGCATAATATGAAATAATCCTACCGGCCTACATTCATATTATTCACAAATAATTCACCTGGCTGTGTGCCTGTGTCACTGCATTTCAGGGTAAACTATAGTAATTTTTTCGATAATGCTCACAATTATGACTGAGTACAATCTTAGTCATTATACAAATGAACGGACGAACGGTGTCATCTGAAGCAGACGTATCAAACAAAAATGTCAACAAATAGATTTTGTCTCCCCATAAGCAGATTGTTCAGTTGTTCCGTAAACATATAGCCTGCGAGGTGCCATATGAAATTGTTATTAAATTCTACATGTCTAATGATTCATTCAAGTATTATTATTGTTTATATATATGATATTGCACAGTATTCAGTGGCAAGCTACAATATTATGCAAAATAAACGAGACATTCCATTCTCCCGCACCCTTCTCAATGTTGGTTTGTGATTGTTTGCACCGTTTCAGGCCTACCTTGTCAATTTCGACTTCAAATCGCAACATTGGATGGGGGAAAGAGGGATAAGCCTTACAAAATCATGATGGTACGTTTTATTTTGCAAGAGATTGTATTTCAACACTAAATCTACACATACTATGTCAAGTACTGTAGGTGTGGAAAGTTATGACGCTGGACACGTTTTATCTAGAACGCTTGTGAGTGACATCATTTGCGTACATCAACACGTTTCGAAGGTTATGTAATGAACCAAAAAAAGGAATAAAATAATATATAAGCATGAACATTATTACTAGGACTTGAAGGAAAAGAAAGAAAAATATTAATTTCTCACCACGTCCCAGCCGCGTCGATCTCGAGAGATCGACGGCTAGTCGAGCTAGAAATTTCATACCTTCGGTTCAGTGCATGCTATGAAGACAGAAATACCACCATTCGATTCAGAAATAAAAGATCAACTAGTTCAAAACGACAGTTATAGTCATTATTAACATTGTAACGATTTATGGGCCTTTGAAAGTCAAACGCGATCATATACTATCAAATCACGCAATAGTCTGAACAAAAATATAGACTGACATACATTTCGCCGAAAATAACTTCGGCCCCTTCGAACATATCGTCTTTGTAATAGTCTTGTTAGAATTCCCATTAAAAACACTATTTAGAGTGTTATTAGACTTTCGCAAAGTCCCTCGCCTTTAATACGTCCTTATTTATGCGAATGGATTTTTGAAAGTAATATGATATGCGCGGCGCAGCGGGAGAGGAGGCGAGGGACTTTTCAAACTTGCAGCGCGCCATATTTTTCCGACCCAAAAACAGGTCGGTAACACTGATCTATATACAATATGTGTTCGTATTGTTGATTAACTTTTGAACCAATCAGAGTAACGTGATAAAACAACATGTCAATCAAAGTGCCTATAGTGTGAAATATTAAATTTCATCTCATAAATAAACTGGCCAGCATCCAGAAATCAAATAGACAGGAAATACATATAAATCGATACGACTGTCGTAGTACACACAGAATTAAAAAGTATTATTAAATGGAGAAGTCAATTTCACAAGCGATCGAAAATGCTAGGCAGTCAGCTGGGTACTCGAAATTGAAAGAATATCAACGGCAGCCAATTGAAGCCTATTTATCTGGTAGAGATGTGTTCGTGTCAGCGCCAACTGGAGCCGGAAAAGCGTGACTTTTGAGTTAGCTCCACATGCTTTCAAATACATGTTGGAAAATAGTCAATCGTTAATTCTTGTGGTTGTTCCATTGGTTTCGCTAATGAAGGATCAAGTACGGAATCTGATAAGTCGTGGAATTCGTTCTTCCTATGTTGGTGACGACTGCTCGGAAGATCAACTAAAATCTATTTTGGAATTCAAAGCCAGAATCGTCTTTGGAAGTCCCGAGGCTCTTTTAAACAATTACCGGCATATATCATCATATTATCATTAAGAGCCTTGAAGCGACACAAGAAGTTGCCAGAGCCACCTAGGTGGCCACGCATGTCAAATTATTAACAAACTCCGCCTCGTGTCAATCAATAGCTAAATTTATTCGACAGTTTTGGCGCGAAATGCAAATGGAAATCCTGCAAGTTTGACAAGTCGACCTCGCTCGCGCTCGCTCGCTCGCGTTCGTTCTTTTCTCGCGCGTGTCCCTGGAGGTCGACTTGGAGCAAGTCTATAGAGTGTTATTTGCAAGCCTGTATCTTCAAATCTGTATCTTTTATCAATATATTTCCATTTCTTGTCCGACTGTGAGCTCGAAGTGAGTTAATCCCAACCAGAAATACGACTGAAAACCGTCAAAACAATTCAGGAGGAAAATACAAAAGAAGTGAATGTTTAATCAATGTTTGTAAATTGGATAAAGATTTGTCCTGATTTACATAAACTTCAGCTTTGATTTTCTCGGCATAGACAAAGTTTATTTTTAAAATTACTTCGCCAATGAACTCATAAGATGGGTCACTTTTTAAGTACGATAAAACATTTGCATCCGATCTGTATCTGATATACAAACTCTCGCCTTTGGCTCGAATTTGTATATCAGATACAGATCGGCTGCTCATGTTTTATCTATTACATAAACTATCACAACAACTACAGGTGCATATTGACTGTTGTACTCTTGATGACTGATGGGCAAAGCTTCATAGCATTTACAATCTTTGTGTTGAATTTGTAGAGTCTTCAGTACAACTGAAATACAAATACAAAAAATTATAGTGAATATTTTCAAACCAATTTCAGGGCTTTAGCCACAATATATACATGTATTGTACACATTTCATTTTGCATTTGAAACAAATACAGTACACTACATCAGATAATGTCAATGACATGGCTTTCTGTTTGTTTGGTTTCATCCTACAACTCAGCCACCCTGCATGAAACCTCCAAAGTCCAAACCGAAATAGCATGGTAGAAAACGCGGGTACCGGATACCGGATGCGCATACCGGATGCGGATACCGGATACGGATACCGGATACACGAAAGCACTTGAATACAAAGAGTATTTTACACATATAGCCGTTCCGAAAATCACGAAATGTTCAAGAGATATTTAAGATCTTGTGGATATGAAATTTAGAATCTTTGGCCAAGCGGTGAGTAAATATATGATTGTTCCGTTTTTTGTAATGTTCTGTCGGCACTTGACGCCCCGTTTGAAAGGTTATTTCGTGCGGATTGCAATGGTGGCTTTTATTTAAAAGGGGGGTAAATACTCGCCGAGATATTAATATTAGAAAAATTGAATCGAAATGTAATTAATTAAAGGAATAATTCAGTGTGGCCATTGATCACCACAAGACAAAAGCTCTGGTGTAATATTTATCGAGGTTTCAAGGGCTTTCCATTCGGGAAGTAGCGAGATCTAGAGAATGTAATGTTTCTCGGGCAACTGTGTGGAGGATTAGCAAAAGGGATATGAGCAGTAACGGATGTAAGAAAACGCGCATAGAGACTAGAGGTAGACCAAGAAAACTAAATAAACGCCAGGAACGAAAACTACGACGATCGATCCAGATCCTAAGAGAGAAGGGGGGGTAACCAGACACAGTACTAAAATGCGGTGCCCGCCTACAAATAAAACTTTCGGCGTTTCCGCCTACATACACACTACACAGCCAACAAGCATATAATAAGCCACAAGTAAAATTATATTTAGCACGCTACACATTCTCCTGTCGGCCGCCATGCAGTTGGTCCGTACGTTAGGATCAAAACTGCGTTTTAGAGCCTTCAAAATAAAATATTTTGAGCTCAAAGTACTATCAAAATGAGGAGAAAAGTGAGACGAATCCACTAGCATACGGCCAAAAACGAGAAAACCAACAATTCTGAAGTTATCAAGGATCAAACGGACTGCATTTTTAATTAGTTTAATAATTTTGAGCGATTTGTCAACAATACAATATCGCTTATTAAAACTGCACATTAAAACCTTTAAAATATAATATTTTGGGCTCAAACTACTAACAAAATAAAGAGAAAAATTAGACGAATCCACTGGTATACGGCCGAAAAAGAGAAAACCAACAATACGAAAGTTATCAAGGTCTAATGCATTGCATTTTTAATCATAGTTTCATAATTTTGAGCGTTTTGTCAACAATACAATTTCTCTTGTCTTTCAACGCTATAAATCGTTAGAATACTGTTGTTTAGTAATACATTTGATATCTGTGAGTATAATTTCGTACGCTGAATCGAATGGCGGTATTTTTGTCCTTATTGGGCGCATAAAACCAGAGATAAGGCGCAGCAAAAAGTCAATCGTGAGAGTCCGAGATTAATTCGAAAGAAAACTTTCCTCGAAAAAAGGAATTCGGAAAACGTGAAGGATTATTTTGAGTCTTTCAAAGGCCATAAATCGCTAGAATAGATTATTGTAGTTTTCACGCTAATTCGAACAGTAGTATTTTTGTCCTTGTTTGACGCATAAAACCAGAGATAAAGCCTAGCAAGTAGTCGATCTTGAGAGTACAATATTAACAATAATTAATTAATAAATTACGAGCACGTGCAAGGAATTTTTAGTAGACGATTAAGGAAACGTATTGATACGAACACACTAACAAACGGACAAACAAACAGACAAACGGACGGACAAACGGACGGACAAACTCACAGGCAGAATATAATGCGGTGCCAAACATGGCACGGGCACCGCAATTTCACGATCAACAGACTGATGGAGAACGCGTGCACTTGTAGAAAAGATAGCATTTCAGAGAGTACAATTTCACGTTTCCTAAATAAAGCTAAGAGGGCTATTATTATCTACAAGCTCGGAAGGTAAAAGTCTGTCAACGAAAGCTGATACGAAAAAGAGGAGAACTTTTGCGCGGAGAATCCAAATTAAACAAGACGCCTGCTCAGGCGTTCACACTGGCCTGAAAATGGCAACTTTCATGGAGGGTGTAATGTGTAGTAGAGAAGTAAATAGGGATTCAGGGGGTCTGGACAATATAAATACAACCAATAAATACAATCATGATTAGCAACTATCAACCATAATATACCAAGACGCCGGCTCAGACGTACCCTCTGTCGCTCTGGCTACGGACAATTCAACCTGACAAGCCACGTCCACTGTAACTATGATCATCAACTATCAACCGTAAATAATGATGGGTCAATAATAGCGAATAAATTCTATTGTCCTTGATTATTAATGCCATTATATGGCTCGTTTCAGGTGCTAAGAAGTTTATAGACATAGACGATTCTTCCAAAAAATTCGCCAATTTGCTGCCAGTTATAAGATAAATTATCCCAAACCCTTCTCTAACCCCACTATTCTTCCCTTGGGCCTGCACGCGGGCTAACCCCAACCAGTAAACATCTAATAAACAATTTGAGAATTAAAAAGTTGGGGGGAAAGTTGTATCTTGTTCCAAAAACAAATCGAACCGTATCACGTTTCACTTCGCCGCACGCAACGCCACCTCGCTGAATCAGTATACAATCGAAAAATACATTCATTTTTATAGACGATAGTAGGCTAATATATGAAATGGAAAATAATTTGGTGCAAATTAATGTAATTACGTGCAAATCTATAATTATGCAAATGAACACAAGTGCGCAACACATGTTTATCAGTCTACAACATATATTTATACTTGTTAATTATAAAGTCAAACTGTCAAACCTTTAACTTGTCCTTGTTTATATTCCACTATATTGTATTAATTCGCTCGGTCCAAATTTTGGGGTTTTCGAGTCGTTACACAAAGAAAAACACATAAATTCAACACGCCAGAGAGTCCAGAGTGCGATACAACGTATTTTTCACAGGAAATTCGGCACAATTCTTTAAAAATTCTACGAAACTGTGCCGTGAAATATATATTAGATAGCTCAGTGAAAAGCCGCCATTTTGAAACTGAACTGAATATGTCACTGGAGCACTGGCGCTCTATATCGTCGGAGTTCGGAATTGTGCGCTGGCGTACAAGTGTATGGGCTAATAAACAAAAAATGTAAACTGTTTCAGACGCATTGCGTAAGCAAGCGATAAGGTTGCAAATCACGAAGGAAGCCGACAAGGAATTTAATTTAAAAATAAAGTTGTCTCTACAATTCAATCTTTACCCCTAGAAGTAATAAATAACACAATTGCCTCAATGCCAAATCGCGTGAAAGAAATCATTTAAAGGAAAGGACAGTGTTTAAGATATTAGAACTATCAAATTGCCAAGTACCTTCACGTTGTATATAATTATCTCGACAATGTATATCTTGACAATAAAACACGTACAATATAATATGAACGGATTGTTAATTAAAAAATAATATTCGTCTATATTGATATGGCTGCGCGTATTTGATGAACAAACCAAAGCGGTATCAACACGCCGATTAACTACAAAAATTATATTGCATCACCATAACGGGTCACTGTACATGTATAAAACAAGTGCCAAAACAACTCAAGAGAGTACGCTGGCCACACATTAAATACATAAGATCTGGGGTTTGTACTGTGGCACCATGGTAAAGTTAACATTTCCATTTTTTTGAAAATCTTCATGTAATGTCTGGTTACCTGTCTCCCGGAATCTGGGAGGTAACAATCGGTTTCAATTAGAGTGGGTAACTAAGAACGTTTTGCCATTGAGCAAGCAGTGAGCGAAGAAATAACGCAGGAAATATTTACAAGATTGTATGTTTCATTTGTCATGATTACTGTCAAGTTACAGAATAACGAATATCAAATTTCAGTGTGCGCAGAAATCAGAAAGAGCTCTATATATAATTATTACACATCAGGTAAATTTTTAACATTGAAGTTCAAATTTCAGGTAAAATTCTCTAACCTCCCCCCAACTTCAGATACTTCGCTACGTCCCTGAAAATCAGAGCAATCACCATACAATACTGAACCTTGCAGTTGTGTTAACATATCGACACGTTTCAGCTTTTTTTCCCAGCATTTTAATAACAGCAGTGTCAATTGAATGAGTAGCATGTTAATGTTTTTGTAGCTACAGTTAAATGTCGTTTTGTTTAAATTTATACCTGCATCAATTACAAAATTTCAGTATTATGATCTGCCTTAGCTAAATATTTTGTTCTTTTTATACAATTTGCAGATAAAAACACGATTCAAAATTATGGTGATATGATGCAATGATGCATGAATTTTGAACAATTTGCTGATAATAGGTGACTTGTGATAATATTGATAAAATTCTGATGCTGTTAGATCTTACAATAAATAAAAAATGTTTAAAAATCTATCTTGACTAGTATTAAATATAAAAATATTGAAGAACTTTGAATTTAAAAGTTTTATGAAATCTGCGATGCCAGCAATTCACGAAAAGCTAATAACTTTTATACCAGATACAAGAATATATTTGTAACAAGAAAGCCATGCAATGAAATTTTGATCGGAATTACTGAATACCTCTAACCATACGTCCCTACATTTTTGTAGAGTGAAATTTTGAAAAGCAATAAATTAAAATCATTAGTTGCTGTATATGCTTATTATTAAAACAAAACATTTATTAATTAAAGTGGACTCAATAATATCGTTTGGCTGCACCATTGCTATCAACCATTGCTTTTAAATCAAGTGATTGGTAATTATAGCTATTTATTGGCACTGCAAGAAAGATACTACAACTGTTTTATTTTGACCATTATATTATATTGTAACTGAAAATTGACGAATTATCGGAAATTTTGACCTAACAGAGGGCTAAAAACATCCTTTTCGAGTGCAAATGCGGGGGAGGGGTTGTCGAAAATTTGAAAGTTTTGTCGGAACATTAAGGAGCTGATTACATGGACCGGGCCAGCCGGGTTAACCGGGCTGAAAAATGTCACGAAAATCTTCCTTGGGCCACAAAACACGGTGGCCGTAGAAGACACGAAATTCGGCAAGGGTCGAATAACTTTCTGCCGTTAGTTCGTAATATCACGGAACTTCCTCACACGATGGAATTTGACATTCCTGAAAATCCTACGTTTTTTGTTTTTTGATATCGTTACATTTTGGCGGGAAAATGACGTTCCAACTTTGGCGCCAAAAAAATAAACAGCAGCTAAGAACATGCCAGTAAATATTTTTAAGAGATTGTCTCATAAGGATCTCAAAACTGCAAAAACATTGAACATACAACGAGGCAGTCCGAAGATATGGCAATTCGAATTTCGAAAAAAATCTAAATTTAGTAACAAAATGGCGGATTTTTCAGATTTTTAAGCACCATATCTCTGCATTGCTTTGGCCTATGTTCAATGTTTTTACAGTTTTGAGATCCTTACAGTACAATCTCTTCAAAAAAGTGACTAGCATGTTCTTAACTCAAATGTAATTTTTTGGCGCCAAAGTTGGAGCTTCATTTTCCCGCCAAAATGTAACAATATCGAAAAACAAAAAACATACGATTTTTAGGAATGTCAAGTTCCATCCTGTGAGGAAGTTTCGTGATATTCAGAACTAACGACAGAAAGTTAGTCGACCCTTGCCGAATTTCGTGTCTCTTACGGCCACCGTGAAATGAGTTTTGAATCAGGTTTAGGGTGATTTTGCATCTATACTAAACCAATTATTTATCACAAATTTGTTTTACGCGAGTTTTAAAACCACAGTAAGGTCCTAAACAAACGAGTCAGTCCGGTTAAACGCGACCAGGCACCATGTAATCAGCCACTAAGGAGGCTTTGCCTCCCCCCCCAAAGTGATGTTCCGCCACTGCGGAATAGGCTAGCCACATGTACGCAGTTCGTAATACATTTTTTTTATGGAATGCAACGTCTTGGTGGTTATTATTTATACTACAGGGTGTATAAAAAAACGCAACCTCGAACTTTCCTAAGAAATCCACTTTGCAATTCTTAAGCATCAAAGATTTTAGGACCCTGGGAATTGAAATCGAATTGCTAATATATTATATTACTGTTGTTGTAATGCACTTGTAAAATAAAAACTTATTAGGTGTCATTAAATAAATGCATAAATTTTGCTTTATGCACTCGCGTGTGCAGTAATTTTGACAGTTGTGCTATATTTTAAATTCCCAGGCACCTAAAATCTTTTGTCCTTAAAACAATGTTGATTTCTTAGGAAATTCCGAGGCTGCGTTTTTTTATACACCCTGTATACTGATATTATACAGCTATTTCAATTAAATTTGTCACTGAGACAATCGACCGCCTCTAGACGCGCCTTCGAAACAAAGCAACTTGTCATTGAAGACAGAAACAGTGAATATACTTTGTGGTCCCAGGGGTATTCTCAACTGTCACCCTCAACACAACGTTAAGCTAAACACTATCACGTCTTTCAGGCAAAGTGACCCAAGATGAGCTGTTACTTAGAGTCCAAATTACGGCAAACATTGCATCGATCGCTTTAGCAGAACTTAATCGCAATTTGTAAGGTTATTTGAAAAAAGATTCAAACATTTATTACAGTAATCAAATTGCTTAAGGCCCTGTCACACTATTGCGTATCGTACTAGCGTATGCCAGCGTATAGCCGGTTTTCCACTAAGCGGAATTTTTCTTTGTCTTTTCTAATTAGTTCCACCCAAGAAATCACAAGACAAAGAAAAATTCCGGTCCGCGCGGAAAATTCCGCCTAATGGCAAACCGGGTTATGAAAAATATCACTCATACGCAGGTATACGCTAACATACGCTAGGGGTACGTTATAAGGCATAGGTTGTATACGTTTTAAGCACGGTCGAGTACGGTGGCATACGCTGGCATACGGCGAGGCAGAACTTTTTTTTAAGCATGCTCAAAAATTTTGTGCGTATCGGACGTATGCTTTATACGATAAGCATACTCTAGACACAGGCTGAATACGCTAGAGGTACGCCAGATGTACGGTACTCATACGCTAGCATTTCAAAGGATTTTTGTGCGTATGAAAACTATTTCATTAATTTTCATACGCTTCTCAAACGTTTCTCTCATACGCAATAGTTTGACAGTGCCTTAAGCGCCCATTTTTGAGCTGAAATTCAGACCGCGTCGTTGAGCTGGCCTAGATCCTAACTGATTCCCTAATAGTCCGATCTAATAGTCCGATGTGCAATGTGGGCGCTAAAAGGATGATGTGAATAATCATAGATTTAAATAAGTATATCATATCAGTAGCCTCGTGGGGATACTTTTAGCGAAGGCTCTGAATCCAAATGAAGTTTTACATAAAATTTGGTTGTTTGTGAATTTAATTTAATTTAATTTAATTTGATTTGTCACAATTCATTTACATACAAACAAGATTGATTACTGACACTAGTATATAGAACATGCAAAAATACAACATAGGTATGACTGGAGAGAGGAACAGGACTTGCGTCCCAATTGACACCTAACTCCTAATAAATGAATATACATCGACCAAACACATTACATGAATAGGAAACCATAGGATATTATAAAGTTAAGAACAGCCAGGAGGGCTGTAAAATAGCAGTCGTTCTTTATACATTTTACGTAGCCTGGAACTGAATACAGATATTGATGTACAACTCTTAAGTTGAGATGAGAGGCTGTTCCACAGATTTGCTGACCTTACAAAAACGAATTTCTGAAGTAGTCCTGCTTATGTTTGGTAATAAAATAGAAATTGTTTTCGTCGTAATGACGTGATGTATAGCCTGGATCATAGGCTAACAATTTAAACATTTTAAATCGAACATTTAACATTTTAACATTTTTTTTTAACATTTTTAACAATTTAAATTTCGAGTTGTCGCGTATGGCATCGCAATAAATAAATTGTATCTTGGCTTGTTTCAAACGTCGCGCTACTCATGTGCCGAACCCATTAAAAACAGTAGATAATGAGATGAAATGCCCATGGTAACTGTTTATTTCTTAGTGTAAGCCATCAGCTTTATGAAACAGAAATGACCATGCCCAAATAAGAGCTCTTGCAATTCAACATTTAATAAACGAGTTACGAAGGAATTGCTTATCTCTTAAGGCCCTGTCACACTATTGCGTATCGTACTAGCGTATGCCAGCGTATGAAAAATATCACTCGTACGCCGGTATACGCTGACATACGCTAGGGGTACGTTGGGCATACGTTGTATACGTTTCAAGCACGGTCGCATGCGTTGGCATACGCTGGCATACGCCGAGGCAGAAAAAATTTTTTAAGCATGTTCAAAAATTTTGTGCGTATCGGACGTATGCTTTATACGATAAGCATACTCTAGGCACACGCTGAATACGCTAGAGGTACGCCAGATGTACGGTACTCATACGCTGGCATTTCAAAGGATTCTTGTGCGTATGAAAATTATTTCATTAATTTTTCATACGCTTTTCATACGTTTCTCTCATGCGCAATAGTGTGACAGGGCCTTAAAAAACATTGTTTTAATCGACATTTTTGAAAAAGTGCCTTCTCTAGGCTATGACTGCTCTAGCCTGTGCCTGCTCTTACTGTTCTGAGCAGTCGGCGATCCTATGTAGTTCTTATACAGTGTCTTTTTCAATTTGATATTTTACACTATCCATGGACCCCTAGTTTCACACATTGTTTCTATTCTGAAAATCCAGCAACATTTCAATGCGAGTTTGTTTACTTTTTGGCTTGCTGTCATCGGTTCTTTTGTACAATTGACGCTCGAAGAGGGCGTATTATGAAAAGGGGCGTTTTGTAAAATACCCAGTCTTCCTTGCAAGCCCACTATTCTTCCCTCGGTGGGCCTGCAATTGTCCGAACAAAAATATATACTAGCTATACCTTTCCTCGAACATAATTTCGGCCCCTTCGGCCGTATCTTCTTCGTATAATAGTCCTGTTCGAAAAATTACCAAACACACTTTTTAGAGTATTATTTTCGAACTTGTATCATCAAATTTCCAGCTTTTATTACGGTATTTACATTTCTGGTCCGCCGTGAGAATTAATTGCAACCGGAAATACAACTTCAAAACGTCATAACAATGCGACGTTTGTATTCTATGACTCTGGAAATGCCAGAAATCGATTCTAGTGGTAAAATTGCACACATGCGCGTGACTTTTTACGCTTTTTATTGGCCAAGTATTAGTGCGCGGCACGCGCGTGCGAGTAAAACCCGAGATTTTGAAAAATTCAAAATAAACATTTCTACTCCCGTATTCAAAAGAAACTTTCTACACGAAATCACTTGAATACAAAGGGTATTTTACTCATATAGTCTTTGAGAAAATAGCGAAAAGTTTAGAAGATATTCAATGTGTTTTAGATATTTAACGGAACTGGCGGAATACTAACGAATTTTTTTTCGCTATAATTTAGAAATTCATCAACAATACCAGAAAAATGTCAACAACCATACCGTGGGAAAACGAAGAGGAACGTAACTATATTTGTATGGGGAAAATTGTAAATGGTGTTGTGAGCCAGGAATTGAGAAAAATATTTAGACAAGAGTGGAACAATCGTTACCAGGCCTCCCTTGGTGGATGGGATGATACGAACGTAAGTGGCCAGCAATTGTTTCATCGAGAGAAAAAACGATCAAGACCAAACAAAAATGTTTACCAGGCATTATTTCAAGATGGTGACACAAATCAGTGGGATTGTTCTGCGCTTTTTGATGCAATTCTTTACTCCAACTCGATTGGTCAGGCATGCCTTAATCCAACAATAAAAATCGAGGTCAACAATCTAAGAGAATTACGAAATGAGGTTATGCACAATACTGAAGGAAAACTCTCCAATAGTGACTTTCGAACAATGTCTACTCGCGTTAAAAATGGATTTATCACCCTAGGACTGCCCATCAATGAAATCAACCAAATTACATTTCAAAAAAACCGTTACAAATCGTTTCAAGTTCTACCTCCAAAACCGACCCACGAAGTGGTTTACCGATCTGAGAAGATTAAACAAATAAATCAAGAACTTAATAAATTACACAGTGATAACGATGGTAAACTTACATATCTATATGTTTGTGGAAATCCCGGCAGCGGAAAATCTCAACTTGCTAGGCAAGTTTGCGAGGATATTTACAAAGGCATAAATTGGCTAAATGAAACAACATTTTTCATGACATTGGACGGCAAAAATTTTGATTCCCTTCTCTACTCATATGAACATTTTTGTCGTCGACTTAACTGCAATGAAAGTGTATTGGAAAATATTATAAATTCATCAAAGCCAAAAGATGAAAAAATCAAAGATTTAAGATCACAGATAACCACTAGAATTAAAAATTGGAAGAGGTGGTGGGTTATCGTGGACAATGTGGAAAATCTCGCGAACATTTCCCTTCTACTACCACAAATGGGCGACGAAATTTGGAATAATGGTCAAATTATAATAACAACACAAAGCAGAACTTCTGTCCCACCTGACAGTTTGTTCACGAAGCAAGTTTCTGTCGGTATTGGTATGAATGAACAAGAATGTCGCAAGCTTCTTGCTTTATTATCAAGAACTGATGCCAATGATCCGTTGTTAGATGACATTGCAGATAGGTTAGATCGCCAACCTTTGGCAATGGCCGCGGCGGCCGTGTACATGAGATACGTCAACGAGGCAAATAGCTGTCCTAATTTTTCGTGGCAAGATTATTTAGTAAAGTTAGAGAAAGGAAAAAGACGATTAACAGAAGAATGTCTTCTCCAAATAAATTCATCGTATCCGTCCGCCATGTCAACAGCTGTGCTTTTAGCTGTTCAAAAATGTTCTGAAAGTAATATCATTTTGAGTCGCGCATTCTACTTTTTCTCCCTAACTTCTTTTGACCCACTACCACTTGATCTTATTGTCCAGTACATTCAGCGTCAAGGTGGTGATCTAGATGCAGAGGATATCCGTCTTGCAATTAAACGTTGTTCATTGTTTCTTTTTGCTGAAAATATAGAAAGCGATATCCGCCTTCATCGTGTTGCTCATGAAGCAGTCAAATTATTCTGCCAAGACAAAGTATCCGAAATCCATCATTTCAGACAGAGTGGAACTATTACTAAAGAAGCGCCCGCTTATGTTGGATGTCCAGTTTACCATGTTGTAAAAACTCTTTATTGCTTCAAGGAAAGAGAAGATAAAATTAAATTGATTCCACATCTGAAAGCATTCCATGCAGAAATTAAAAAAATATTTCCAGAGCACGTAACGTTACATTTAATAAGTTCAAGCTTTGAAAAAACAGAAATTTCCGAAATATACCTGTTTTTTGGCAGAACTTTACGTTACTTTTGTGATTTTGAGCTCTCTCTGGAATTCCAAAATTCAAATATTGAGATATGGGAAGGTTCAAAAAGAGATATTGATGTGTCCAAAATATACACCGAACTTGGGTTATTGCATATGGATTTATGTGAATTAAAAAAATCAGAATATTATCACGATCTGGCACTTAAAATCCGACTGGAAAAATTAGGTCAAAACCATGTCAAGATTGCCGATTCCTACAACAACCTTGGTAAAGTTTATTTTGAAAAACTTGATTTGATAACAGCCATGGATTACTATCAAAAAGCATTGGATATTCAAAGAGCACAATTAGATCCGAATCACGTTGATGTGGCTGGGACCTACTGCAACCTTGCTAGGGTATACCTTGAAAAAGGTGATGAGCAAAAAGCAATGGATTATCATAAAAAAACAATGGAAATTCGAAAACAACAATTAGGTCCAAACCATGTTGATGTTGCTCAGGCCTACCATAACCTTGGTGAAGTTTATCATGAGAAAGGTGATCTGGAAAAAGCTAAGGATTATTATCAACAGTCACTAGTAATTCGAAAACACAAATTAGGTCGAAATCATGTTGAGGTTGCTTCTTCTTATAACAGTCTTGGTGAATTGTACCATGATAATGGTGACCTCGACACAGCTAAGGATTATTATGAGCAGGCACTGGAAATTAGAAAACGACTATTGCGACCAAACCATGTTCATGTTGCTTTGTCTTACATGAATCTTGGAAGAGAGTGTCATCATAAAGGTGAGCTAAAAAAAGCTAAGGATTATTATCAACAGGCAATTAATATTCAAGAAACAAAATTTGGGTCAAACCATGTTGAGGTTGCTTGGTCCTATGACAACCTCGGTTTGGTGTATCATGATGAAAGCGACCTAGAAAAAGCTAAGAATTGTTATGAACGAGCACTGAAAATTAAAAAAGAACAATTAGGAGCAAGCAATGTAGATGTTGTTAATTCATACACCGATCTTGCTACAATATATCATGATAAGGGTGACCTGGACAAAGCAAAGGATTATTATGAACAGGCACTGGAAATTGGAAAACAGGTATTTGGTCCAAAGCATGTTGATGTTGCTTATTATTACAACAATCTTGGTAGAGTGTGTCGTCACAAAGGTGAACTAGAAAAAGCGAAGCAATTATCATGAACGAGCACTGAATATTCAAGAAGGGCAATTGGGGTCAAACCTTGTTGACGTTGCTAGGTCCCTTGACAAGCTAGGTTTGGTGTATCATGATGAAGGCGACCTGGAAGAAGCTAAGAGCTATTATGAACGGGCACTGAAAATTAGAAATGAAGAATTAGGAGCAAGCAATGCCGATGTTGTTGATTCTTACAACAACCTTGCTACAATGTATCATGATAAAGGTGACCTGGACAAAGCAAAGGATTATTATGAACAGGTACTGGAAATTGGAAAACGACTATTAGGTCCAAACCATATTAATATTGCAATGTATTACAACAATCTTGGTAGAGAATGTCGTCACAAAGGTGACCTAAAAAAGGCTAGGGATTATCATGAACAGGCACTTTATATTCAAGAAAGACAATTGGGTACAAACCATGTCGAAGTGGCGTCGACTTGCGACAATCTTGGTTCAATCTACCATGACGAAGGCGACCTGGAAAAAGCAAAGGATTATTATGAACAGGCAATGAAAATTAAAAAACAACAATTAGGTGAAAACCATCGTGATGTTGTTCATTCTTACAACAACATTGGTAAAATGTATCATGATAAAGGTGACCTAGACAAAGCTAAGGATAATTATCAGCAGGGACTGGAAGTTGGAAAAAAACAATTAGGTCCAAGCCATGTTAACATTGCTACCTATTACAACAACCTTGGTGCAGTGTACCATACGGAAGGTGACCTGGACAAAGCTAAGGATAATTATGAACGGGCACTGGAAATTGCGGATGAACAATTACGTCCACTCCATGTTAACTTTGCAGACTGTTACTACAACCTTGGTACACTATACTCCAGAACAGATGAACTGGAAAAAGCTAAGGATTGTTTGCAACGCGCACTGGATATTCGAAAAGAGCAATTAGGTCCAAACCATGTTGATGTTGCTTGGTCCCTTGACAAGCTCGGTTTGGTGTATCATGATGCAGGCGACCTGGAAGAAGCTAAGAATTGTTATGAACGGGCACTGAAAATTAGAAATGAACAATTAGGAACAAGCAATATCCATGTTGTTGATTCTTACAATAAACTTGCTAGAATGTATCATGATAAAGGTGACTTGGACAAAGCAATGGGTTATTATGAGCAGGCACTGGAAATCGGAAAACAACTACAAGGTCCAAACCACGTAAATGTTGCTTTGTATTGCAACAATCTTGGCAGAGAGTGTCGTCACAAAGGTGACGTAAAAAAAGCTAGGGATTATCATGAACAGGCACTTTATATTCAAGAAAGACAATTGGGTACAAACCATGTCGAAGTTGCGTCGACTTGCGACAATCTTGGTTCAACCTATCATGATGAAGGTGACCTGGAAAAAGCTAAAGATTATTATGAACAGGCACTGAAAATTAAAAAAGAACAATTAGGTGCAAACCATCGTGATGTTGGTTATTCTTACAACAACATTGGTAAAATGTATTATGATAAAGGTGACCTGGACAAAGCTAAGGATAATTATCAACAGGCACTGGAAGTTGGAAAAAAACAATTAGGTCCAAGCCATGTTAACATTGCTACCTGTTACAACAACCTTGGTGCAGTGTACTATACGGAAGGTGACCTGGACAAAGCTAAGGCTAATTACGAACGGGCACTGGAAATTGCGAATAAACAATTACGTCCACTCCATGTTAACTTTGCGACCTATTACAACAACCTTGGTACATTGTATTCTAATACAGATGAACTGGAAAAAGCTAAGAATTGTTTTCAACGCGCACTGGATATTCGAAAAGATCAATTAGATCCAAACCATGTTGATGTTGCTGATTCTTACAACCGCCTTTGTTTAGTATACCTTGATATGGAGGAAGAAGAAAAAGCACAGGATTATTATGACCGAGGACAGGGAATTGAAACCGGGGAATTGGTACGAAACCACGCCACATTGTATGGTAATAGAGATGATTTGCGAAAAGCAAAGGATTATCGTGAACGGGGACTGGAAGTTGAAACAGGACAATACACGCTTCCGGAAAGTACGTTACCTTGGCTATAAAGCCTCATTTTCGTGATTGAGATGTTATGCTTTAACTAATGTCACATACACCAAAATGAGGCTGTACAGCCAAAATGACGTGCTTTTTGAAATCGTGTATTAGGTGCAAACGATGTTGGGGTTGCTGATTCAAAAATTAGGTCCAAGCCATATGATGTTGTTGTCGTCTCTTACATCAACTTTGCTAGAGTGGGATGACTCTTACAATTGCCTTGGTTCAGTGTACTTTAATATATGTGAGCTAGAAAAAGCAAAGGATTCTTATGAGCGGGGACAGAAAATTGAAACAGCAGAATTAGTACGAAGTTACATTAAGGTTTCTGATTCTTGCTACAACCATGGTAGATTATATGGTAGCTCGTGCAGGTGACCTGGGAAAAGCTAAGGGTTATTATGAACGGCCCCTTGAAACTTGGAGGCCTACGTCTGAAAATATTTATGCTAATATTGGATCCGGATACTCAATAAAAAACACTTGTTCTAATTTCAATAGTTTCTGAATTTTGCAAAACAATTCTTGGGCGTTGATGTTGGAAGGATAGTAAAAGGGAAATATTGTCCAAAACAACAAACAAATATAAGTCGAAAGCAATCGAATGTATAGTGTTTCTGTTTATAGATTCTGTAATTGGAGGTTTTTTTGGACAAATACGTGGAAAACTGCATAGAAAAAGCTGAATGCACACACTGGATTTGAATGTCGACTGTATAAATGTCAAGTATATATATATA